GTAGATAAACAAAAACTTGAGGACAAGCATTTTGGCTGTAGAGCCAGTGCTTTTAGCCATTGTGCTAGGTTGTCACTAAGGAAATAGATGGTTTCCTCCCTCAATAGTATTGACTCTCAAGTGGGTCAGCCCTCTTTGTTCTGGTTGGATTATCATTGGTACCAATGTTCAAATGCAAGGATAAGTTAAGACTAGATAAAAGGTACCACCAGGGTGGAGTGAGTATAATTATGTTTGAATTCTAGGGTTTGGGGATAAGGGAGGCAGAGACCCAGGTCCAATCTCTTTAAGGATGCTCTATACCTTGGATATCTTCTACACATTCCTAAAGTAATGCTAATAGGTTTTTTCTGCCCTTACATGAACAGGCAAGACCTGAGATTCAAGAAGGACAGCCAGGGCCATTGGCAGAGGGCCATCTGGTGCATGGTACCTGCTTTTCTGCAAGGTGAATTGTTGTTTATCAGCTAGGAGTGCCCCTCCCAAGTACGCGACAGCCAAGGTCTTGAGAAACAGGAATATCACTTATTAGTCAAGATTGGTGCCTTAGCAGGTTTGATTCCTTCTGAAGTTCATGAAGGTAGGATCTATTCCAGGTCTTTTCCCTTGACATTTAGATCTCTGTCTTCTCCCTGTGTCTTTACCTGGTTATACCACCATACCTATCTGTGCCCAAATTTCTTCTTTTTATAAGAATACTGTTCATATTGGGTTAGATGACGCCCTCCTACTGAACTCATTTTAACTTAATTACTTTTAAAAGACCATCCATGATAGTATGGTCACATTCTTGTGGTAAGGAGGAGTAACAGACCTCAACATACAAGTGTTGGTGAAGGGGCACAACACAGTTTGCAACAGTGGTACAGCGGCCATAACTCTCCTCTTAGAATTTCAATTACTCTAAAGTAAGGCATGTCCGTTGGCTAGGTCAGAAGTGACGATCAAGCACTGAATTCACTGCAGGGCATTTTAGGGGAGCTAGGAATTATTCTGTGGGCAGAGTAAATACAACATGAAAGGCAATATCCAGCGCTGGTCCTCAGTTTGCTACAAAGAACTGTCTGGGAGCCCCTGGAAGTGGCTTTCCCTGTCTTAACTAAAGATGGTGGGATGCCTTATTCAGAGGCTTGTTTCAATCCTCATTCCCACCTCTCTCGAACTACCCGATTCCTCCAGGCCTCCGCAGAGAATAGAAACATTGGTTGGCCTTCCCCATGGCAAATGGGTGGCCTTTCTTCTAGTAATGAAGTCTCCAGGATTTTTGCAAAAAGAGGCAGAAGTCCTTGAAGACAACTGATTCATCACTCTCCACATAGCAAGAGATCTATCTGTGGTATAAGCTAATCTAAGGCACCTAAAAGGACTACAGAGACAGACATGGTGAAGACATTCATCCTGCCTGACTCATCATAATCACAGATTCTCAACTGGCTAGAATGATTCACTTTTTTTGTGAACTCAGGCTCTTATGCTTGCCAGGCAAGCGCTTATTCTACTGAGCCATCTCCCTGACCCCATTACTCACATTTTAAGCTCCCCCTCAGACAGAGAAATCCAGTGCATGGAGAATACTGCCAACCTCTAACCGAAGTACAAAGCAACAGTCCTCAATTTCTTTGCCCATCTTGGCTGCAACAACCTTTCTTCACCTGTTTAGTGCCTTTGGCCCTTTTCTTCCCAACAGTGCCCAATATTTCCAAAACCCTAGCTGCTTCTCTCCTCAATGAGACCTTTCAGACTCGCCTAACATTTGTAATTAACGTCCCCATCACTAGCTCTTCAAAATGCCTTAAATAATAGGAAAACCATTGCGTGGGTAAGCAATTCATTTTATTTTTGAAAGACTTCTAATTTTTATAACAGTCTTTCTTTTTAGAAATGCAGTCTCAGCACCATCTACCTCACGTATCTTTCCTAGTTCGCTCTCAATCAGTGATGACTAACCAGAGGAACTCACTCTCCATTTTTCTATCTAACTGCCATTGCTCCCCTGAATTCCTCTCACATATGTGGCCTGGGTCTCCTTTACTTTGGGTTAAGCAATGTCAATACCATAGCAACATCTCTGACCATGGGTTGGGGTAATATATAAGGGTCTCAGTTCTCTGAGGAAGTCCTAATAGCTTCCAGGGAACCACTTGAAATATGCAGAGATTCCTCATCTTTCATGGCTCAGATCAAATGCTACCTTCTTTGGGAAGGCTTTCTTGTTGCTACCCAAGTACAAGGCAAGCAGCAGCTCCTTTTGTCATGCCCTGTGTACATCCTGCCATCGTACACCTTATGCACATCCCTTTGAGCATTGTTCTGCTGTCACACCTACCACAGTTCATCATAACCTTTGATTTGTTTTCTTTGTGAACTTCTTTGACTAGAGACCCTATCTTAGTTATTACTGTATCCTCCATTCCTGGTTCAGGATAGCAATTTCACATTTACTTATTGCTTTGCTGATTAAAGAAACCAACATTATAATTTCAGTTACCCTGAAAGTTCTAGGAAGGAAATATCTTTGTTCAGGGAGATTTTGCTATTCCTCTGCTCAGATCCTTCAGGGAATATCCCGGATGATGCATATTAAAATTATCTGGCTCAGGCTGAGAAAAGGAGGGCAGAGTGTAGTGTGGAGTACCTCTGAGATTTCCTGGAAGTTTCTGGCTATTCTAGCATGAATCAAGCCTTGTCGCCCTAGTGTCAAATTATACCTGGTTTCCCTTGACTGTCACCCCACTCAATGAAACTTGACATTAACTGTCTTTTTTCTTCTCAGTAATGGGCAAAATAATGACAAGGCTTTCTTCTTTACTTTTCTAAGATGAAAAGTACAGACCACAGTTAACTAAGGAATGCTTTCTACCTAGAAGGAACCAAAAATACCAATCCAAAACTCAACTCCTCTCTCTCATGGCTTCTAAAAGTTTTTGCTAGCTTGCTGTATCATCTGTGCTTGCCGGTATTATATGAACATGGTCCTGTGTACCTTTTAAGCCCTGAAAACAGCTGGAGTTAGCTCTCAGACCTTCCTGGGGGGATTCTCATACTCTAAGCAATAAACAAAAGAGAAGTTTGAGCATAGCTCTTTATCTTTAGGGCAGTTTAGCAAGGTCATCTTACAACCAAAATAGATTCAAAGGCTAGAAAGAGTACATTTTCTCAAATCTCTGTGGTTGCCTTGTCTACCTATCTATCCCAGACACTGGCTATCTATGAAACTATTCAAAATTGTTCAAGGGTAAAAAAGAAAAGCCCTGAAAATTTGCTTTACCCTGCAGCTGTCTTTTTATTTTATTATTTTTGACTCAGTCCAGTAATTATAAGGTGGCCTGGTGGTTTAAAAAACCTCAAGACTTTCCAACAGCCCAGCCAATGAAATACTACTATAAGTTGGAATTTTTTACTCTTAAGATTGGATATATCAGTTCCTATAATAATTTAGTATGCTTCCTTCAAGATACCACTCACTGTAGGACTGCTTCATGGGATACCCATCATTTAGTAGAGCAGAAAAACAAATTCTCAGAAATAAATAAATTCATGGAAAGAGTTTTCCCATCTTCTGTAAGATGGGGAACATATTAGGAAGGTCATGATAGTGCTCTGAAAGATAACTTTGAGGTCTTTAGACCAAGTAAGAAAAATTACTAGCCCATTCTCTGTATTGTAGACATCTAAAGGAAAAGTATTAGAGAAATTTCAAAAGGAGAAAAACTTAAAACTAAATAAAGGCTATTCTTTAATACTTGAAACAGATAATTTTCAAGATTAAACTCACTTTACGGTACCCCTTTGAAACCTGCACCTATTTCTAAAGTCTATCTTAGGCTGACAGTATGTTGCAATGATGATAACGTCATTGCAAGCATAATTAAATATGTCTGGGACAATGACTTAATTATGTGCGGTCAGTGTTATGGGAGCCACCTGTGCCTTCCCTCCTAACTGAGTTATCATGTCTCTATCAGAGACAGAATCATGGGCAATGAATGTGAGGATGATGCAAGGGCTTTTTTATTATGCTATGAACACCAAGATCTTAAACCTGCCTGGTTGCATTGTAATATCTAAGGGTCATTGATGAGGCTCTGCCAACCAACTGGAGGGGAGGCCACTTTAGAATGTTCTTCCTTTCTACATACAGACCAGCCAAGGGAGGATGAATGTAGGACAGAGAATTCAAGGCTGGGCTATTAAGATGCATCTTGAGGCGCTCGTCCAAGGGATGCTGACTTGGGAAGTGAAGGTGGGGGGGGTGTCACTGGATGGTTAGTGCAAATACAGTTGTCAAGGCGAGGAGCAAGGGTGTTGTTTAGTATTGAAATCATGTATTCCAGATGTGGGCATTCAGTAGTCAGCCTGCTCTGAAGTGACATGCTGCTGAATCTTTAAAGGGCTTCAGCCAGGGAGAGCAAAATCTGATTGGGCAAATTGCTAAAATATTTAAAGTGCAGCCTGTTAAAGCTTTTACTGTGAAGAACATCACGTCAGAAGTTGTAGTCAGAAAGAGCGAGTAATTGGCTTTCCATCCTCATGCCAGTCAGTCAGCATGAGTCTCTGTTCCTATTCCTCCTCTTCATTGCTGATGCTAATAGCAGCCCTTTGGGGTGTGAGGGCATGTGTGCGTGCGTGTGTGTGTGTGTGTGTGTGTGTGTGTGTGTGTGTAGGGGAAATTGGATAGCTGGTAAAATGAGAGATTGTGGAGATGGATGGCCATGAAAAAGAGACCATGAATTCATAAAATAGGATGCAACCCATTAGGCAAAGAGGGGAAGGCAAAGGGGAGAATCACTGTCTGATAAAACCACTTGGCACCTTCCAATGAATGGTGCTGGTTTGGGTCAGTTGTCTTTCAAGGGATGGGTCTAACAGCAAGAGCATGGCCACCAGTGCAGTGGCTTCCTCTGCCTCCCTGAAGTCCTCTGAGGTGTAGCTCAGGAGGCACTTGCTATTTCTAATTTATTCTGTTCTCTGCTCAGGTTGTCTTGTCCTTGTCTCCCCAGGCACGACCCCTTATTGATTCCTGGGAATGACCAGATTGACAACATGGACTCCAATGTGAAGAAGTATGACTCCACCGGGATGTTTCACTGGTGTGCTCCCAAGGAGATCGAGAAAGTCATCCTGGTGCGTGAGTGATCCTGGAGCTGCCATTTCTACATTTCTTCCCAGCCCTCCATTTCTTTGGGAATGAAGGCTTCCTAATTGGAGGGTGGGATGACACAGTTCCTGGTCTTTAATCATTGCTGATGAGAGAAATTCCTAACAGAGACTCAGGCAGCAAGAGCTGTAATCAGCACCTGAGCTGAAAGCAAAATTTTCAATCTCTGAATATTTATGGGCTCATTAGTCTAGTGGTGATCTTGTGCTGTGGGTGTGAGGCATCACGGGAGGTAGGATGTGACTTATTTCTGTCCATCCACATCTAGGATCAGAGCTAGCTCGGGCCATTTACAAGCTGCATGGCCATGGACAGGTCGAATTATTCTCTGCATTCAGTTCTTTCATCCATAAAAGGAAGAGAATGACTCCAACATAGCATACATGGTTGTAGTGAAGATTAAAGTCAAACGTAGGCCTCCATAAAACGACCTGTTGCTGTATCTTGTATTCTTCTTGAATGACACAAAGAAATCTGGATGTTGCTTTATTATTCTTTGCAAGCATGTTTTGTATCTTTATAAATCGTACCCTTGTATATCTGTGGTCCTTCCTAGTGCATGTTGTAGACAGGCACGTGTGTTACTGAGGAAGACAACGCAGAGCCACTGTCCCCCTGGGCAGGCTGGAGCTCAGAACCTTATTTCATGGATGGCTTTCCAATGTCTCCATAGCAGCAGTGGGCTTCTTCTGTTCTATCCCCGATTGTCAGCATGGATAGCAATCCACTCTACTCTCTGCATTGGTCCTATTAACAGCTTTAGCTTTTATGCCTACATCGACTTTTCTTAGAGCTTATTTTCATGTTAATCCATGAAAAATGGATTAATAATCAGGAAGGTCAGGCCGGAAGGTTCTTTCTCCCTTACGCCTCTAATCCTCAGATTTCTGTGTACCGGCTCCTGTGTCAGCCAGGAAACGCCTATCATTTCTGCAGGCAGGGACACCCTTCCTTAACAAGGACCATCCCTGGTCCTCAGAACAGCTTCCTACTCTAATCCCCTAGACTTTTCCCTGTGTTTTGTCTACTAGATGTTTTATCAATTGAATTATAAACAAGCGTTGTGAGCGGAATGCAACCTCACAGTGGAGGCTTAGAGGTGTAGCAGTGTGGGCAAAAGCACAGGAAGTTACAATTCTCAGCCAGGGCCACTTTGTAACTCACCACGAGAGAAAGTGGTTTTGGCTACAAAGCTGCTCTTACACACTTACCTTCTGTTAGTAAGCACACTTACTTTTACCTTGCTGGTCTTAGTTCAGCCTGGTGTTTCCCACCCGTGGTAGGTCATATACTAGTTGTTTGACCTGAAATCCAGGGTTTTAGTAACTTGCCTAGATTTTCCTGGGCAGGGTCTGCTGATTGATATCTGATCCACATCCCCTACTAGAAGGACTTTAGGGAGAACTCCCATTATGCACGATACAAGGAACATTCTAAGTTAATACTGAAGCAGATGTGAATGATAGGAAAGGTTCGCTAGGTGGTCATACACTGGGGCACTGGTTACCCACTGCATGTAGGGAATGGATGATACCATAAGAGATTGTCCCAGTTTTTCAGGAAATGATCACCTAAAAAATAGTATCATTTAGAAAAAAAACCAGTTATAGCAGACTTAATTTTCTTTTGCAGAGACAAAACACCTGGCACTCAAAGTTAACATAGGAAGGGCTTATTTTAAGTCACAGTTGGTAGAGGCTTCCTTGTATTGCTGGCTGTTTCCAAAGCAGGTGGCATGGCAGAGGAACATCACAGAGGAGAATCAACAGTCCATGGCATAGAAGACAGGAGGCAGCTTTGGCAGCAGCAACTACAGCAGCAATTGCTCGCCTCTCTCCCTTTCATCCCTTCTAGGCTACCTACCTTCTTGGTGGTGCAGCACACCTGCACCCAGGTTGGGCCTTCCCCAGATCCATGCTAAACCAGCCAATAGACTATAATTTTCTACCATCACACCCTTAATCCTAGCACCACACACCCTTGATACAGCCACAGGTAGGAAATATCCACCACTCCTGTTCTGGTGGTATAATACATAAAGCGGACATCTCGGGGAAGCAAAAAGAGGGCCTACAGGTAGGCAAATAAGTGCATAGTAATATTTCAGATATAAGCAAGCTACTTTGGAGGCAGTAAAGCAGTATTTTAGGCTAGAAGTGGCCTGGGAGGTACCATTTAGACAGCGTGATATGAGGAACACTCTCTAAATTAACACTGGAGTGGACATGAATGACAGGAAGGGTTCGCTGTGTGCTGAGGCTGTGCTTACCCACTGGGTGTAGGATCCTAATGGTTTTAGGGCTTAGAACACATAAGAGATGGTCTTAGTTTTGCAGGAAATGATTATCTAATTGGAGGGAAGATATAAAATGTAACTGTGGAATAGTCTATTTAGAGCTAAGTAATGTGAGTCATAAAATGCTGTTCAGATATGGGGAGCAGCAGCAGCATGTGTTTAAGAAGCCAGAGACATCCACCTTGTGCAAACTGGTTATGCTTGGAAAGGGTTTGAGACTGTGAATCGTGTGCTCATGTCAGCAGTGCATATACTAGGCAGGCTGTGAAGGCTGAGGTTGGGTTGAGTCTTGAAGGATGATGCACAGCAAGCACAAGGCACACAGAAAAGCACATGAGTCATTTCTTGGGTAGGTCTTAAGCCGGCCGGAAGCAGACCTTTCAGAGCCAATGTGCAGAGATATGTACATTTACTGAGTTTCCCAAGTGAGGTTGCTGTGGTATGTTGGAGAACAGCATCTATTCCTGGGCCACTCTCCTAATGGATGCCTATGTCACCTATGCATGATTGGACCCCGTTTGCGTTTGCCTGGCTTGTGGAGGGAGCTAGACTCCCAGGGGGCCTGTCCAATTAAAAGTAATTTGGAGCCCCATCACTGCATGCCAAAGACTGGTTGACTCTGCTAGTAGTGCACAGGCGCTTAGACTTCTATGTAGCCTGGAAAACTAATTCCAAGTCTTCTCCATGAAGCAGTGATAGATGATGTGAGCTCCCTTGAGGGTCCACCTTACTCTTAGTATGACGTTTCTTATAGGCTGGGTCTCAGGTTTCCCAGTACTGCTGCAGAAGGGAAGCAAAATGGTGACAGCCCCTGCTCTATTCTAACGATCTAGGAATGAGAGCTAGCTTCCTCCTCTCCTTGGGGGTTTCTATAATAACCCTGACATTGTTGTGAATTGCAATATTGGCATTTAAACAATCAATACACTGGTCAATGCTAGGGATTACATGAAGCAGAGTTTGATATGTGTCGTGGACATTAATATGCCTCCTCCCAACCACTGCAAGCCACATGAGACCATCGGTGCGTGTGGTGGGTGAGCAGGAAGAAAGGCAGCCATGATAGGAGGTGTTGCAGTAGATGCAAGGGACAAAGAATGACCCATGACTAACTTCCTTATATTGTCTTCTTTGGTAGCAAAAGGGCCAGCAGTGGTGAACGATGTGAAATTAGTTCTCCTCTGAATGGGTGTGTTGCATTCGTCTTCTTTATAAATGTGTACCTGTGATTGAGGGAAGGCATGGGCCCTTTGCTCTTGCCCATGTATCTCTAGACCCTTTTAATGATTATTTTGGGGTTGTTATATAAGGTCAGTCCTTCTAGAAATGTCCCTGGAAACCCCAAGCAGCACTGGGCAGGGTTCAGCATACTGGTTGTGGAGAAGGTTTATGTCATGCATGACTTAGGTATTATGGGTCATGTGATCTCTGTTGCAGTTGGTCAGTTGTGCCACTGGAGCCTGAAAGCAGCCATGGACGAGCTTGGCTCTATGCCAGCAGCACTGTGTTGGAATCTGAATTTCATACAATCTTCATGTAGGATGCCATGAACTTGCTTTTTTTTTAAGCTCTTGCAAAGCACAAATATTATTTTTAGCTCGCTGCATTTGTGAAAGACTAGAGCATCAGACTGAGTCGGAGGGTCCCAGCTGCCAGCCTTTGGCTTTGGAAAGTGTGTTCCACCTACTGGCACAGTGACATCCTATGATGCCTAACTGATAAATCCAGAACTCTCAACTCAGATATTCTGAGCTGAGATTCACAGAGACCTGACCATTTTATCATATTTAGCAAGACAACCTGAAAAGGCATAATATTTTGTCAACAATTTCATTGAAACTAAGACTTCCCTTTTTAGATAACATAAATAATTCCTTTTTCCTTCCTGAAAACCATTATGAAACAGCTCCAGACCTGTGGATATAGCTCAGCAGCATAAATGCCTGTCTGGCAAGCAGAAGGTCCTGAGTTTGATCCCTGGTACCTCCCCCCCCAAAAAAAAGTTAGAAGCACTGAAATAGCTCCTGTTCATATTATATAGGTATGCAATATTCTTTTTCAGTCTTTTCCTCAAGAAGGTAGTGAGATATATAAGTGTATGTTTATACTGTATCATTTATATGTTTATTGCATAAATACAATGCACATGCTCATCTATATGACGTGAACAGTGCATGACACTGATGGATTGTGTTAGTCAGTTCTTGCTACAGTGAACTCCGTATGGCAGCCAACTGCTAAAGAGAAGAGATTTATCCTGCTCACAGTTTAGGGGGTCTAAAGTCTAAGGCGGGGCTGCTCCATTTGGTGGCAAGAGTGTTTGGGGGCCAATGATTTATTTCATTTAGTGTAGCACAGAGACAATTAGGATCTGGAGCCAGATTTGTCCTCTTATGCTGATCTTCTTGGGAGAATTCAGAAATTGTGTGAGAACTACTAGGGGATCGCATTGCCACCCTGGGCACTGGGCCTTTATTCAGAGTAGACTCATTGGGGACACTCAGGCCACATGCAGACCGTGGCAATAGAACATAGTAAGCCTTTAGCACATGTTCCATTGATCCCTTGCGCCAGTACTTTATTTTTTTCTCCTTACAAAAGCATAAGGTCCTCTCGCTAACACTTTTGCATTTCTTCCTGTCACAGACTCGAAGTGAGGCTGCCATGACCGTGCTGAGCGGTCACGTTGTGGTCTGCATCTTTGGTGACGTCAGCTCAGCCCTGATTGGCCTCCGGAACCTGGTGATGCCACTCCGTGCCAGCAACTTCCATTACCACGAGCTCAAGCACATCGTGTTTGTGGGCTCCATTGAGTACCTCAAAAGGGAGTGGGAAACGCTCCATAACTTCCCCAAAGTGTCCATACTGCCTGTAAGTCCAAGGTCATAGTATTGATGCTATTGATGTTTTTTTTTTTCCTTCATTTCATTCATAAAAGAAAGCCCCAGGTGGCTCTAATCTTTGTAGCTTTGATCATGCCTCTGCTCCTTCATGTGGGTATGGGCCCGAGGACGCGGCCCTTCCCCTATGCACTGGCGAGGAAAATACAAACCCTGAGAGACCTTATTAAAAAGAGCTTGCAACCAAGTTCAGTCCCTCATCAGGAATGAAGTCAAGCTGGTGTCACGTGGATTAACCGTGTCAGTGTCTAAACATTTTCTCCTCTAGTGCACACAAAACCTACAGCATGGTGATATTAGGATGCTGAGAGCAAGAGTTTACTCACAAGCGCTTACGGCATTTAACTTGGGACGTTGTTAATACTTCAGGAACCCTCGGTCAGGACCAGCTTCTGACTGAATAAATGTATATAACAAGTCAGTAGGGCCAGCGAGATAGCTCAGCAGACGAAGCACCAGCTTAGGCAGCTGCAGGGACTGGGGTTCGATCCCCAGCACCACATGCCACGCAGGTGCCTGAGCCGGCTACCAAAACTGGGCATGGTGGCGCATGCCTATAATCTCAGCGCTGGGGAAGCAGAAAACAGGAGCATCATTACGAGCCCCGATTTGGTCCTCTTATGCTGAGCTGCATAATGAGGCCCTGTATCAATTACATAAAAAAAGTCAGTTATTTCTTCTGTACAGAAGGCCAAGCTCTTCTGTGGGCAACTCCCTACCCACCATTTAGGTAGAAGCCCACTATTTCCAATGCGTTTCGTGTGACTTGTCCGTGCGTGTGCAAGTGTGTGAACGTGTGTGTACATGATATTATTCATTGTAAACCACAAGGACGTCAATATGTCATGAACAATTTGGGCCTGCTCAGCTTCATGTAAGGCTATGGGCTCCACAATTTGTATATCCGATCACGCCTTCATCATAAGCTGCACATTTCCTACAAACTTTCAAGACCCTAGAACACATTAGGTACAGCTGCCAGTAGAGCAAATCCATGCAAATATTGCTTCTCTTCCAGATATTTTTCTTGCAAATTCATATCCCTAAAATAGGAACATGGATTTTTCTGCATGCCAAGAGGTCTGCATTTGCCTTTATCAAGGAAGCTAAAAGTCATTATTTTGCTTTTCAGCTTCCAGAGTCTCAGAAATGAATAGAAAAACCTATTAAGCAATATAATTGATTAAAGAACAATAAGGCTATATCCAAGAGTGCTGCCCATTAGTAGCTATCATTTGTCTCTAAGATGCCAGGCACAATCAGTCCTCAATAAGTATTTAAAGGAGTAAAAACTATCAGAGTTTTTTGGATGCAGAGTCAAAATCCGGTTGCTTGAGTGTACATATGTAGTTAAAGATGGTCACTTACAGACGAACAAAAAGCCACATGCTCAGAAGGCCATAAATATGTACCGTGTATGCTTTGTTAACTTCAGAAATGTGGTAGATTTGACTATAATGTTTCTGTGATCACCATGCTGCTGGTGCTGTTATACATGGGCGCTGGACCTCTGAAAGCATCATGAGTTTGTGTGCGTGTGTGTAGGGTGTTGGATGCATGATGTTTGCTGTTCGTGTGTGTGTGTGTGTGTGTGTGTGTGTGTGTGTGTGTGTGTCTGATTTTCTCTGCTCTCACCTGCTCCCATCAATATGAAACTGCATTGGTATTTGTCGGTCCTTTCCAATCCCACCAAAACGTAGCACACTCAAGTGTCAAAGTGTGTAATTTTACACAGATGTTCACATGTCGCTGTCTAAACAGTACCTAATCTAGAGAGCTGCTGTGTGTTCCCAAAGTCACTTTGTAGGAAGAGGAATGAAAGACGCCCTGATATATAAATCTAAGTACATTTATGTGGGCATACCAATACAGGTACAGATGGAGACTGAGGTAGAGACAGAGAGCAGCTAGCAAGCTCTTGTTCTGCACCGCCGGTGCTTTGAGGTCAGCTAGAATCTCAACGAAGGACACGCAGAGGTAGAGAGAGGACCCCAGGCACCGGTGATTCAGTGGGAGCCCAAGGTGGTACTGCATGGTGTCAGGGAGCTCAGACAAGGGCTGGCCCAATTAGTGTCACCATGACCCCTCCTGAGGACACAATGCCTGTCCAGGTCACGGCCTTACCCTATTTTACCACTAGTTGTGCTCCCAGACTTTCTGTCATTACCTCCTAGATCTGGATTTTTTTTCTCTCACTGTCTTATGTTATTATGGAACTTAAAAAAATCTGTTTACTCGCTTATTTATTTTTAATTACCCCTGTAATATACAAATATGTTCTTGTTATAAAATATTCAAACAATATAGAAGTATATAAAGTCAAAAGCAAACTTTCTCCTCCTTCCTCTATGTCCTTTTCCTCTCCCCAGAGGTAATTACTGTTATTAGTTTAATGTGTATTTTCCTGAGATTTCTCTTTGAATTTACATACATTTATAAATATATAATTTGATTTCAAGTGGCTTTTTTTTTTACCTAAATGAAGTTACACTGTTTTGAATTGTTCTAGAACTTTTCTCACTTATCACACTTAGAGATCTTTTTCAAGTCAATGACTGTATGGAGTGCTAGCTCCCTCTATAACGTCTGCATGCTTTTTTGCAGTCTAGCAGTGTCCTGAACCCTTCCGGTTTTTGGATTAGTAGGTGATTTCCTTGTTCTTTATTTTTGCTGAAGATATGCAATGCAATTATAAGCACTGAAGCAGACTCCTCTATCTCTCCTGTGTGAGGCACATCCAGTCCATTGCCTTCGGTAGCCTCCAGATCGAGCCGAGCTTCCAGACCCACCTTATCACACACCCCGCTCTCTCCGATTCCCCTTCAGCTGCATTGGAAATTCTAGTTGGAACTGCTGTCATTTGCCTGAGACAGAAGTGACCTGCTAAGAGATAAACAGGCATGGGAAACCCACCCCCTCGTTACGTTCTGAAAGCCAGAGGTTGCCACAGGACAGTTACTTAAATTAAGACAATTTCCAAGCAGGGAGACGATGTAGACCCTGGCATTATTCCTCTCGCGCGTTTGTTAGTAATAGCTTGATTGAGTATTGAGAGCCAGCCTGAAATGCTGCCATCAGCACCAACTACCCTTTAGATTAGCGTGCGGCCCCTATTCCCTGAAATGCAGTTAGGCCAGCTTAATGTCAAGGTATGAAAAAGATACTAGTTAAATAATTTCCCAGAGCTCTGGGTCAATCTTTAATTTGTTTTTATTTTTTTCCCTCCTTCCCTTTCTTTCTTTGACTCTCTCTCTCTCTCTCTCTCTCTCTCTCTCTCTCTCTCTCTCTCTCCTGTTTTTTTCTTTATGCCAAAGGGTACACCATTAAGTCGGGCTGATTTAAGGGCTGTCAACATCAACCTCTGTGACATGTGCGTTATCCTGTCAGCCAATCAGAATAATATTGATGATACTTCGCTGCAGGACAAGGAATGCATCTTGGCGTCACTCAACATCAAATCTATGCAGTTTGATGACAGCATCGGGGTCTTGCAGGCTAATTCCCAAGGTAAGGACAGCCTGTAATACTTCTCTGCTGTGCCTACGGGGGACAGGGGCTGGCAAGAGGGATATCCTTCACTCAGTAATTCAAAGAGGCTCACATCAGCCTGCCTGGCAGTGAAACCTGTGGTTGCCATCATAGCTTTCAGAGGGGCATCTCCTGCCTCTTCTTTCCATCTCAGGCTTCAGGCTTCAACCCGGATCTCTCTCTCTCTCTCTCTCTCTCTCTCTCTCTCTCTCTCTCTCACACACACTACATTGCCCTTCCTGACAGTAAACACATTGTGAAATGGCCATCCTCTCAGCTTCTCTCCATGGTGGCTCTAAGACCAGGGTCACCTGCTGAATGTTAGAGCACTCAGAAGATGCGGCTGCACAATTCCCAGTGTGCCCTCCAGTCTCCATTTTTGCTATTGAACTGAGATGGGTATGTCAAGCTTCGCATTCTTAGAGCTGCAGCTAAGACACTGCTGCCCAGGGCATGGTAATCTCCAGGGAGAGGGACTGCATGGGCACTGAAAGTCATTTCGTAAGAGATGACACTTGTCGGCCCTGACATGTTCCTAAGGAGCCACAACAGCCTTAAATGACAGAGATGTGCCTTCTTCCATGCCATCTTCCCTATCATTTGGTGTAGGATCCTGGGCAGTTGTTACCAGTAAAGATGTCATCTAGGAGCCTCAGAGAGGCAGCACAGCAGAAATCCATAACCACTGCATAGGTTAAGATGCGTGCTCCTCTGCGTGACATCCGTGTGGGTTTGCCAGGAAGTACAGCATGCTTGTCATACCTGGCTACGGTGGTACTGGGTGTCTGGTGGCATCTGAGGCCTATCATTCTAGGATGGAGCATTGAAGAGAAGAGCCCATAAGAGAACCTCAGCAGCTTGGATGGGAAGCATAACCCAACAGCAGGGTAGAGCTCTGGGCTTTTGGGAAAATCAGCATAATCACTACCAACAGCCTACACCTGTGCCGGCCATTATTTTTGGTTCTCTCCATGAACTTTGTCAACCAAGCTTTCCTGGCTCCTTCCAGTGTCACTGCAGTGACGGCAAAGCCAGGAGCAAACAGTTCCTAGAAAATACCACCCAGTGAGCTCCCTTCCTTCTGGCAGTCTGGGCAGAACCCATCAATGGTAGAAGGGTGAAGGGTGAGTTTTGGAGAAAAAAAGAGAAAGAGAGACCTTGACTCTGGGGACAGCTCCTGCCAAGCCCTGAGCAGATTTTGGCAGTTCCTGCCCCTGAGCAGGCCACTCTGAGGGGGCCCTGATTTCTGAGCACCAGTGGCTTTGAGGGAGCCAGGAGAGGGGTTGGGAGCTTCCCTGAGGATTTTGAGGTCTACAAGAGCTTCTGGTCAACCTTGGAAGAACCTTGCCCTTTGGTATTGCCTAGGAGATGGCTTTGACTTTGGCTTCCTCAACCCGTGTGATCCTTCCTTCCTTCCTTCCTTCCTTCCTTCCTTCCTTCCTTCCTTCCTTCCTTCCTTCCTTTCTTTCTTTCTTTTTTGTACTTTTTAGGGAGGGGTCTACAGGGTGTTCAGGGTCTCATTGCTAAATCGGACTCATAGTGATCTCCCTGTTTACAGTTTCCCAAGAGCCTCCCACGCCCAGTCTCCATTGCCCTCTCAGTGAGCCCTGGGGGGAAGAGCCAGCACTGGAGGCCTGGAGATCAAAGCCCCAACCCCTGTGCCTGCTTGCAGCTGCTTTATTCCGCTGAGCTATTTGGCCAGCCCTACCCATGTGATGTTTGTATCAAACTCTGATTTTCCTTCTACATGAAATAGGGCGACATCCACCCTGACTTTAGCTGGATTTTGACCTCTCCACTCTGCCATCCTTTCTGCCATCACCAAATTTAAATCTCAACATGCACTTGCCTTGTGCCGCTGTGCAGGAGAACACTATATCAGAACTCTAAGACAGGCCCTGAGGCCCTACTGGCAGCACAGAGAGGAGGCAGAACCTGCTCCAGGGGATTGGGGGAAAGGAGGTGTGGGAAGACCAGAGACAGAGGAGGTAGGCAGGCTGCGGGTCCCTCCTTTAAGCCCTGCTCAGCAAGGCATCCTCTCTCAGCATGAGCATTGCTCCGGGGAGCTGGCTGGAGATGCTAGCTCTTAGTCCTGCCTAGATGTATCTGTCAGACTGCAGGATCCTTGGGTGGCTTGCTCATGCAACTGTGAGGCGCCGTCGGTTTTCATGCCAACGAACCGAGAGTGATGTACATGCTACCCGACCAGATTTGACTCATCTCCTGTACCTTAGACATGCTTCCAGGGGGAGAGCAGGGAACAGCAGCAACAGTTCTCCCCTCAGTGGAGTGGGATGCTGCAGGAAAATGCTTTCATTCCCAGCATTCCCGGTCCTCTTGGGTTAATTCTCATGAGTATCAAGGTCCATGGTTGCAAAGCTCAAAACCCACCTTATCTCCCAGATTCTATATAGTGGCCCAATTGGTGCTAACACTTTCTCTTCTCTTGTGTTCAAAAATTGTTTATGCCTTTTTATCACAAGAATAAACAAGAAAAAGTAGGTTTGGCAGATGACAATCAAGAAAGAGAATGGGAGAGGAATTTTTCCTATAAAGAAAGAAAGATCCCCCTTCTTATGTATATGTACGTGTGCACACTGCAGTGTCTGGGCTCTGTGTCCCCTCAGATATTTCTGTGTTGAAATCCTAACCCAACACATGCAAAGCTCAGGAGGCAGGGCCTCTGGGAGGTGATTCGGGTGGAGTCTGTGTGAACAGGATCAGTGCCTTAGAGAGGAGGCCCGAGAGTCTTGGCACACAGCTGCCGTGTGAAGACAGAGCAGCAAGGTACCATTTATGAACCAGAAAGCAACTCCTCACCAGAGCCGACTCCTTGATCTTGGACTTACCAACTCCCGCAACTATGAGAAGTAAATGTCTCTTGTCTGTAAGCCATGGTATTTGTTATGGTGGCCTAACTAGGCCAAAAACATACACACTCAAAATAGGCAGGATTTGGGTTTCTATGTCCAGTAGCCATTCACCTGTAGCTCAGCAGTGGCGTGGACTCATCTTTCCCAGGAGCCAGCACTCTGTTCTCTTTCCCAGGTTGGAAAGTGAAAGGCTTCAGCCACACAGGCCACAGTTCCCATTATTTTCTTATCCTCTCTGCTCCTGTCCTGCCCTTGATTTTGGACAGCATTCTGCTGTGACACTCTGATCTTCCACATCAGTGGTCCAGTGATACCATCAACATGGCCAAGTGGCTCCTGCTCCAGGGCTCACCTTTGGCCACAGCCCTGCACACAGTCCTTGGCTGGCCCCCAGGCCATGGGCCAGGTGTGGAGCTGTCTCCTGGCCCCTCTTCCTCTCTGACAACTGTTTGAACACCTAAATTGCTCACTGGCCTCTGACACTTCCTTGGTCACTTGAATGGTAGGCATGACCAAGTTCCAAATGGGTTGGAATCACACAGAACAAAACATACTGCATGTTCCTCCTCATTTTTGGAACTAAAGGGAAATCCCCATGAGTATTAAACACACACACATATATATTTTTAACCACTATCACCTCTAACTTTCCTTATATAATCAGTTGTTCCTCATGAAAGTCCTAATATCAGCTTTGTCATAAAGCTATATCACCATCTCTCCAGAATCTAGTTGGACAGAAAGGTAGACTTGGGACAAATACGCTCCAGGGCCAGGATATTCATTTAGCCTTATGGAAAGTTGTTCTAAAGTGACACAGTTGGACATGGAAAATGTGTGTCAACATGGAGCAAGCGGAGCCCGCTGGGATTTGTGTCTGTGTGCTTGCCACTGTGCGGTGCTGGGCCTCCTCTGTTCCCTGCCTCTCTCTTCATATTTCCTTTGGGCGTCACTTTTCTAGCCCACATGGTGTCAGAACTGACCCAGCCTGGGGAGTCTGGACCAGGCACACTCTGCCAAGATAGGAGACGTGATGGCTGGTTGTCAAAAACAATTACAGAAAAAGGTGGCACAGCCCACGCTGGATGGTATATCCAATGTGACATTTGGGTCTATGAGATGCAGTTTTAATATACAGCAGGCAAAACTGCAGTGACAATTACATAAAGCAGGTGAAGTCGCTTCTTGCTGGTCAGCAAACATCGGCTCAGAACCACTTTATAGCTCTTTACCAGTGACTAAGTGCCTTTATTTACAGAGCGCCTGTCACTTCCCTTTGGCTGGAGAGCTGGTGTATTATTTAGCACGCATTTATCTGGGGAAAACATTTCAATTTAAATCAGCTGGTACAACAGTGGCTCTTGCCGGGTTGTTTCCCAGTAGTTCTGAAAGACAAGCGCTGATTCTGATCTTGAAGAGGAGGTGAGCAGAGGAAGGGTCTGCTCTCAGAGAACCCGGGGCGTCAGTGCCTGGAAAGAGGGAGTATGTGGTGGAGAGTTTCTGTCTTCTACCCAAATGGAAAGTGAGCATCTTATAGTTTCTTTCTGCTTCTTTCCAATAAGGGCAACTCTTAAGGGTAAGTAAGGAATGAAGGGTGTCCTTCTCAGGCACCCCTTGCTGTAATGGTTCAGGACACAAAGATGGCTTAGCTTCAGCCTCCCACTGTCCTGAGGACCTGAGGGAGTTGAGGAGACATTTCTATGAACAGTGACGGTGCAATGAGACAAGGACCAGCCAGAAAGCGAGCTCAAAGGGTCCTCCTTTTCTGTATTTCAAGGGTTACAGGAGGCTTCTAAGAATAGGTAGCAGCAGTGGATGAGCTGAGGGCATGTGGCTATTCAGCACCTGAAATATGGCTAACATGACTAAGGAACTGAAGTTTTCCTTGTATTTAATTATACAAAAGGAATTTTAAATAGTTACAGGTGGTTAGTGCCTAGCATAGTGGGCAGGTCAGGCCTAGAACACAGATAGACTTGATGCCTTGCTAATAGTTAGGATTTTGGGGACTCATCTAATATTTATAGAAAGGTGATTAAATCAATCTTTGAAAGCTACGAAAGGGAAAATATGAGCATGGATAAAGGTGGGAAAAGAGAGGCAGGG